ATTATCTCATCTCAGATAATGTGTTCTTCATTTCAGACTGGTTCTTTAATTTCCATTTTTATGTTTTTCATCTCATTGTTGAAGTTCTCACTGAATTTATCTACGCTACCTAAAAGTTCACTGAGCATCTTTATAATCAGTGTTTTGAACTCTGCATCTGTTAGATTATTTGACTCCATTACATCTGGATCTCTGTTCTGTTCTCTCATATGGTTTCTGCTTCTTTGTCTTCTCATTTTGGCTGCCTTTCTGTGGCTGTGTCTATGTACTAAGCAAAGCTCCTAAGTCTCTCGGTCTTATTAGTGTGGATTTGTGAAGTAGGTGTCCAGTGGCACAGTCCTAAGAAGCGTTCGGCAGGCCAAACTTAGCCCAAGCCTCTACCTCTCTGGGGCCACCTGTTAAGATTCAGCAAACAATCTACAGATGCTGTGCTTATAGCTGCCTCAAAAGGCCACACCAGAAAGCGAGGCCAGCTGCCACCAGTGTGAGTCTAGGCGCTGCTGGGCAAGGAGCACCTGACTTGCTGAGGATATACCTGCATGTGGCTTGGGTGGGGCTGCCAGCTGGGGGAGGCGGAGTTTCAGGGAATCCTCTGGGTGAAGCGACCTCTGTTATCCAGGTTGATGACGTCATGACTATGGTGGCACTGTGTCCACGCACTGGGTGGGGGGAGGGCTCAACAGGGAACAACAAACACTGCCGGCACTTCTGTACAGAGCGAGTCTCACCTAAGCCCTCACTCCGACATTGTCTTCCTGTAAGTCTCTGGTGCCCCCTGCACAGCCGAATCAGCACTGGTGCTCAGAGCGAGCAGGTCCGTCACAGCGAAAATCCACTCACGGACGTGGCCCCTTTAAGAGGCGTCTACCGCTGCCACAGCCTCTGTCTCACTCAGCCGCTTGAGACCAGGCAGCCCCGTGTTCTCGCTCTCTCCTACCTTCTGCCATTGCAGGGTGATTTCTTATATTTCTCCCTAGTTGTATGGCTTGTTCATCTAGATCACAGGTGATTTTTCCTTGCTGCTGCTGCTCCTTATTTCCATCACAACTTTGATTTGGTCAGCAGGGGGATGAAGAGAGCCTTTATCATCTATGTCATTTTTTTTTCCTCCGACTGCCCTCCTTTTTAAAGTTTTAATGACACTTGGATTTACAGAATCTGAACACCCTGCAATTGTTGCAGACAAACATTATGCTGCGGCTGGGGCAGATGGGCCCCAAACAGAAATAACACTTCTCAGTATGAATATTGAACCTGCATGGGGACCCACTGGCCAGAGTTTTTCTTGTTTGTTTCTTTTTAAATAGTCTATATAACACAACATATAATTACTGTATATATTATTTTATCAATTGACTTCATTCTCATTAAAACCAACAGAAAGTATAGTTTTATATTTCTGTATGACAGTCCATCATATTATGAATGGACTATAATTCATTATCATTTCCTATTGCTGGACATTTAGGTTGGTTTGATTTTTCACTACTGTAAATAATTCTAGGTTCTGGGGAGAGATGGTAACTGATCACCTATAAATTTAACTCCCTCCCAAAACCCTATGAAAACTGCAGTAAATAAATTTGTTAAAAGGCAACAACTCTCGAGGATGGTAAGAACAAAGGGGACAGCAGTAACATAATTTTGACAGTCATAAAAAATATATGACTGAACTAGACCAGGGACACCCAAACCTTAAGCCAGTTCTGGGGAAAGCTGAAAACTAACCCAACTGACACTGCAGATTCCTCCAAAAACCTCAGATTTAACAGTATCAGAACCTCTAGAACCAGGTGAAAGATGGGAATACTAGAAACCAGGTTGATGAAAAGCTGTTTCAGAAATATCCAAACATCTCTCTCTCCCCTCATGCTGCTCAAGAACCGCTTCACCCTGGCACTATTTAGAGTGGTGAGAAACACCGGAGGAGGGTGCAACTACAGCTCTCTGGAGAAGACCCTAAGCTCAGAAGAAAGCTTAAACATTTACTGAAAAGAGAGTGTACACAGCATCCAAAGGCTGAAGGCTGAGACCTCCTTCCTCTTATTCTCCATTTAGTGTTCAGAACACTGGTGAAGGGACCAAAGTTTTGCCACCCCCAAAATGTGCCTTTTTAAGCTGTTTATTAAGAAACAAATGACTCGGAAAGAACCTTTGACCCTCCCCTTTTTCTAAGAGATTCTGATGTAGAGGCCTGTGTCAGGAAGGGAATCTTAGCATATTCACCTTAGGATTTTTCAAGTTAGCCTAATTTGAATTCAATATGAGAGAAAGGTTGCTATTTCCCCCTTCCAAAATCCCATCACTGCCCTCTTTCTCCTTCGTCCATGATGGCATATAAACCTCAACTGCTGATGCCTCTTAGGATCTCATTATGGTACTCCGAATATGCACTTATACAGTAAACTTTCGACATTATGTCTCTGTTAATTTGATTATTAGCCCAAAGGAAAACTAGTTTTTTTTTAGACCCCATACTTGCAACCAAGCCTTTACCTTCCAGGATACTGGAAGTTTCCTCTGAGGAATGTGACGACCCTAGAAAAAAGTCCCAAAAATGTTGATATGGACTTTCTCTACAAAGGCCTAAGCAGATCACCTTGCAGTGAAATAGAAAGGCCACACATCTCCCCTTACTCCTCAGAGCTTCCAATTAGCACCCTACTTGTTAATATGAGGAAACAATCAAGGTCCACTGAACCATCAAGGATGACCAGACATCTAACAAAAGTTTATAACATGAAAGTGCCAGAGTCAACCAACCAAAGAAGACAATTTGGAAAAAACAGATATGCAAAGGGAAGAAAACTAAAAAAGAAAAAAACTATTATTAAAATCCTCAAAGAGATAAGAAGCTCTTGCATTTGAAAAACAAGTACAAGAAGCTATAAAAAATAGAAACTAAGTACAAAAAAGAGAAGTCTTAATGATGATTATAGAAATAAAAAATTGAATACATAGGTTATGCAAAAAGATAAACAAATGGAAATAGATTTTTTAAAAATTAGAGCACCAATGTAGCAGTTCTAATATCCAAATATGGAGAATTCTAGAAAAATTTTAATCTACGAAGAGGAAATCACCAATGAAATAATACAAGAGAATTTTCCAACATTAAGGTTTCCTGGTTGAAAGGGCCTTCATCATACAATGAATGGCTGTAACATCAAGACACATCATCAGGAAATTAAAAAACAGTGAAAACAAAGAGATGATCCTTCAACTTTTCTGAGACAGAAGAAAGATGTCAGTAACATGTAAGATCAGAAATCAGAAAGCCATCTCAATAGCTTCTGGCAGCTCAAAGTCAAAGTGATACCTTCAAAATCGTGAAGGTAAATTTGATACCCATTTTAATGATTACACCTATACAGTAGGCTGAAAGAGAAATGAGTTTAAGTACAAGAAAAATAGAAGCTGATATATCTTCAAAAAGATTATCTCCAAGAAAACAAACAAACAAACTTAAACTAGTAAGATTACCTGATATAATTAATCTTGTAGAAAATAAGAGACTATTAAAAGATATGGGAAGAAATAGGAATGGGTAAAAGAAAAGTAACCAAGTGAAAAAAGCTAAACGGAGGAGAAAAAAAACTACCCAAAAGAAAAACAAAATTAAAGGAAATTAAATGACATTCAATGATAATGCTCTGTTGTGAATGTTTACATAGGAATAAACACAATATTGATTTAACCAAATGGTTTTTAAACTATATTAAGAAAAATAGAGAAGAGATGGTGGTTTAACAGGAGAGCTATATTCTCAATTAGCATTACTGAAAACAGACAATGTCAAAAATAGATGTCTCAAAGGATACTATTATACATATCTGTTTAAAACCATGGAGGTTTGGAAATGTCAGTAGAATCAAATTTTAGTTGATTTAGAGTCTCCCTCTAAGGGAGACCTGGAGGATGGGAAGAGGTGGCAAAGAACTCCATTTATAAACCTAAAGGGACTATCTGACATTTTAAATGAAGTGTGTTACTCTGATACAATTTCAGAGTATGTTACAAAATATCTGTATTTTGTCTCTCTCATAATTTAGTTTTAAACAGAGTCCCAGAAATAGTACTCAGGTGACTATTTTTAGTTATCAGGTATTTAAACCTAAAAGCCAATTGAGATCATATTTTTAAAACCAGGCCCCTGGAGATATTGTAAACCTGTTCGAATTGCTAAGGTTCTGGAAGGGACTGGAAGTACAGATGGACAAGGATTCATTCTAGGAAGAAGCAGCAGGAACTGCTTCTACAAGACAGGTGAGCATGAGTATGGAGATCACTGGAAATCCTCAGAATAGCTGGATTTGGGAACTAGGAAGGACCAGAACACACAATACCCTAAAATGGAAACATAATCAGCAGTATAAAAAGGATGTCATCTGCAGACACATTCCAGTTGCCATAACTGTTTGACAAAAACACTGCTAGGGGCCTTTAGAAATACCCAGATCCAATTCAGGTGTAATATCATTTAGTAAAGGAGAGCTGAATTTGTTCAATTACTGTTAACTCTCTGAAATATAAGGAACAGAAGATGGTGGCTTCCTAAAACAGGGTTCAAAAGCTCTAAATTGGATGCACTGCAGAGAAAAACAGCTGTTTAAAAGGGTAATATACCCTGGTTATTTCAACGCCCTCAAGAATCCAGATTTTAAATTGACCCAGAGAATAACAAAAGAACAGTCAGAAATAGATCTTAATCTTTCTTTTTTCACCATAGACAAAATCAGGAGAAAGTAGATAAGTTAGTACTCCATTGCCACAAATTAGGTGGCCCAATATTCCTGCTTAACTCTACCAGTCCGAAAAATGGGTCAAATTACAACTCAGCAACTCTCCAGGGTAAGCCAGGAAACCATCCCTACCTATAACACAAAGATGTTCCCAAATAAAATTTTCTCTAAGTGAAAATCCTGGTACCCAAAACTTTGCAGTAACTTAAACTTAATCAGCACTGCTGCTAAACACAATTGAACCTACTTTTAGAAAACAAAAGGAGAGCGCGAACGCAGTCCCCCACTACCACAAATTATGCAGTCGAGTTTCCCACATTTGAGGAAATCGCAGGGCCAGCACATTTGGAGTGCAATGGGTGAGCCTCACCCGGGGAAAACCACCTTTGTGATCATGGTATTTCCCTGCTGGGTAAGTATGAATTTTTCGAAACTGCGGTCTTCATAGTCCTGTGTGCATAGTACTTTTTAGGTATGGTTCTAACGTAAACTTTTCCCTAAAAAAGCTCCATATCTGACAGAAAATTAAATCAAGCACACTGAAACTCTTGCAAAGATTGGCAGTCTTTTGAAAGTTCCTCATACCACATCCCTAAATACACAAGGGTGGGAGAAGCTGTCTTTCCCAGTCTGAACCGGAATTTTTCATCTACGTATCACACGCCTCCACGATGACGTCTGACTCAGAGACTATCTAGGCTCTGAATCTGCCTTTTCTCTTGCTTTGAAAAAGAAACCACTGCCTACAAAGAGCCTATTAGCATATTATAACTCCTGCAGTTTCTTTTTGTTTTGCAGCCAGCTAGAAACTATAGACTTTTCTTTTATAAGTGTTGAAATCATACACATAATTTCCAAGTGTGAATCATTGTAATAGTAATAACAACAATGTTAATAGTACTACATATATGATACTATATGCCAGACACTGTTCTGAACCTTTTACATAAAATAACCAATTTAATCTTCATAACTACCCTATGAGGTACCTACTATTGTTATCTCCATCTTTACAGATGTGGAAACTGAGGCAGAAAAAGGTTAAGTAAATTTCAATGTCACACTGTAATTATGGACTCCAGCCAAAATCCACTTGATGAATGAATCCTCAGAATGCTCGGACTGGCCCATTTCATACATTTGCTGCATTCCTATTGTTGGAGCTGTAAGAGTGGTAAAGTGTATAAGATTCGATCCCTGCCTTCAAGGAACTCAGAGGCTATGAAAAAGAGAAGGCAGATTAAAGTGAAAAATCTGTGAAACTTTCTCTGATTTTTCTCCTTACCCCTCATCTCAAATGAGAATTCCTAGCTACTAGCCTGTGATGGTTTCTTGAAGCAGAAGCCTCAGCCAAGGGATGGCTCCTTCCCAATCCTGGCTGCTCTAGAGAAATAAGAGATTATTAGAGCAGGCTCCCTGGAAGGGATAACATTGGAGGCAGGTCTCAAGTGGGCAGACATAGTATGATGGTATTTATGAAGGAAGAATAAAAGATCTGGAAAGAAATACAGAATAAACAGATTTTGGAAGAATGCGAAGGAGGGTATTTATGGGTGCTATTTATCAAGAAGTCAATTTATGTAAAATTAAACATTAAGAAATGAAATAAAAGGGAGAGGTAGGACTTGGTCACATAAAGATGGGTACTATAGGCCATGAGGAATGTGTCCTACCTAGATACAGCCATGTTGCTCTTAGAGATGGGGGTTAGGGGGTGAGGGATGCCTGTTCATGGAGAACAGGCTCAAAAAGGAAAAATAGGGTGTGATAAGGGACTCTAAATGCTAAGACTTCTCAGTTTAGGCTTTGGTTGCTAGGCAAATGGAGTCTTTTGAAGGTTTCTGAGCAGGGGAATTAGAGGTTCTAGAAAAATTAATCTACCCATAGTACTAGGACAGTTTGAGAAAAAGATGAAAGAAAGAGTTATAAATTGGGAGAGAAAAGAAAGGGGATAGAGAGCCCTGTAAATGTGGTTGAAAGGATGGGTCAAAGTCAGGGTCAAGATAAGGGCCCTGTACTTAGAAGGGCTCCACATTTGGTTTAATACTCTGCTATCGACATCTCAAAATTCTTAATCATTTTATAACAAGCAGCTCTCATTTTCATTTTACACCAGGTCCATAAATTGCTTAGCCATGAGAGGAGAGATGATGCAGTGCATTTGGACATATGGAGCAAAAGAGTCCTACTCAATAATAGACAACCCAACTAAAACTTAAGACAAAAATAATCTGAATAGACATTTCACCAAAGATGATATTCGGATGGCCAATAAAGACATGAAAAGATACTAATATCATCAATACTTAGAAAAATGCAAATTAAAACCACAACGTACCCACTACACACCCACACACAGAAAAATGGCTACAATTCAAAGAAGCTGGCAATACCAAATGCTGGCAAGAATATGGAAAAACTGAGACCGTTGTGCATTGCTGGTGGGAATGTAAAATGGTAAAATCACTTTGAAAAAGTTGTTAGTTACTTCTTTTTTAAATTAAAAGTAAAGTTGACAAACAATATTATATTAGGTTCAGTTGTACAACATAGTAATTTGACATTTATATTCCTTATAATGTGATCACCGCAATAAGTCTAGTAACCATCTGTCACCATACAAAGTTATTATAATAATATTGACTAATTTCCCTATACTGAATATTACATCCCCATGGCTTATTATTTTTTTTAATAACTGAAGGTTTGTTCCTTATTCCCCTTCACTCTTTTTACCCATTCCTTCACCCCAGTAGTTTTTTAAAAAAGTTAAACATACCACGTGACTGAGTCATTCAACTCATTATGTGTTTACCCAAGAAAAATGAAAACATATATCTACATAATGACATATATGCAAATCCCCCAAACAGCAATATGCATAATAGCTCAAAACTACAAATAACCCAGGTATCAAGAGAAGGATGGATAGAGAAAATGTGGTATATCCATATATAACAGAATACTATTTTAGCAATAAACATAAATAATGATAAAGGTAGCGGTATAAAGCTCAAAAACATTATGCTATGTGAAAGAAATCAGACACAAAACACTATATACTATATGATTCCATTTTATATGAAATGTCTAGACAAGACAAATTTATGTAGAGAGCAGATCAGTTGTTGCCTATGGCTAGGGTTGGAGCATTGGAACGAGAAGCAATGGCAAATGGGCCCAGGGGAATATTTGGGGGGGGGCCATAAAACGTTCTAAAACTGGACTGTGATGATGGTTGGGCAATTGTATACATGTACTAATCATTAAACTATATATAATGGATGTTATGTGTATATTATACCTCAATAAAGCTGTTAAATATGTCAAGAAAAAATAAAGCCGTTATCTTTAGAGATACATACTGAAATAATAATGGCTGAAACACTATGACATGTGAGGTTTATTTCAAAATAGTCACTGTTAGGGGTTTAGCATATGCAGTTACAGATGAAACAAGATTGGCCTTAGTTGATCACTGCTGAAGCTGGGTGTGGTTAAATGGGAGTATACTGTATTATTCTATTTTAGTTTACATTAGAAGTTTTTCGTAATATAATAATGGCTTAAAAAAATAAAGGAGAGTTCCAAGGAGACCACCCTTTCCCTTATGATTTTAAGTACTTTGATATGTTGATACCCTAGTCTTCCCATCTGTGAATGGGAGTGGGTGGAGAAGAGAAGCAGGAGGGACAGCCCCCTTGATTCTATATCTCACAGGTTAAGAAAGGTATTAAAAGTACAGATCGTTTTTGGGCATCATCTTTTTTTCCTTTCTTTCCTCTCATATCCCGCATTCAATCCTGAGGGATTGAATTAATTAATAATGTTGTTTTAAGTCTTCTTGGTTTTTCCCTAAAATTATGTTCAGAATCTGACCGCTTCTCATCACCTCCAGGGCTATCTCTTTGATACAAGCCACTCTCATCTGCCTAGAAGTTTGCAGTAATCTCCTAATTGATCTTCCTTCTTCCTTCCTTACCCCTTCAGTCTACTAACATAATAGCCAGGGATACTGCTAAACCCGAAGTCCAATCATGTCACATTTCTGCTCAAAACTAATCTAACACAATTCTGAAGAAATAGAAGAGGAGGGAACATTTCCCATTTTTTTTTTTTTTTGACTGGAAGTAGGCTTTATTGGCGGGTGTGAGTAAGGAGCGGCCACTGAAGCCCTCAGCAGTGCAGGAGCCACCATTTGTCCAGGGGGCCATGATTAGGGATGTATCTGACCCCACAGCCATCTGGGACAAGCCGCTTTTTAGCCACCACATCCTCAAACTTGTCCGCATTAAAGCATCACTTCTTGGAGATGTGGATTTTCTGTAAGCCAGGTAACTTGAACTTGGTCCTGGGTAGGACCTCAATCACATGCTCCTAGTTCTGCAGCTTGGTGCAGTGATATGGCCTATGTAGCCCCTGGACACTATGCCCTAGGGCTTTCCAGAGGCACCCCACATACCTGTCTGGAGCCTTCAGCCCCGGCACAGGACAACATCTTGTTGATGAGAATAGCATGGAAGGGGCAGAGCTGCACTCCTATACAAAAGCCATCTTGGCCAAAGCTTTTCACCATGTATTTGTTTGCACCAATATGGGAAGCCTCCAGGGCTTCAAAGGAGAGCTGCTCACAAGCATCTGACACCATGTAGCCACAGAGTGGGAACTCACCCACTTTTGCCTTTTTCTGCTACAGGTCAAAGATGCAGATCTTGGCATTAAGGACACCTTGGCAGAAGGGAGACTTTGGGAACCACTTGTTCTTACAATACCTTTAACCCCAAGGCGATGAGGGGGACCATGGCAACAACAGAATTTTCAGTGAAGCCTAGAAGGGTCAATTTATTTTATGAAACCAGCATTACTCTGATACTTGAGCCAGATAAAGACCAAATAAGAAAACTATAGACTATTATCCTTCATGGACATAGACACAAAATTCCTTTAAAATTACAAACCAAATCTAGCAATATCAAAAGTGTAATACATCATAATCAATTGGGGTTTATCTCAGAAATGCAAAGTTGGTTTAACATTATAACATCAATCCATATAATTCAGCATATCAACAGATTAAGTAGATATAGAAAATAGTTAATAAAATTCAACAACCATTTATGATTAAAAAAACAAAATATGAGTAGCTTGATAAATGCTATCTATGAAAGTCCTATAGCTAATATACTAAATGGTGAAAGACTGAATGCTTCTCCTCCAGATTAGAAACAAAATAAGCATGACTACTTTAACCACTTTTATTCAATACTGAACTGAAGATCCTAGCTAGAGCATAAAGCAAGGAAAATAAAGTAAAAGCCAATAGTTTAGAAAAGAAGTAACACTGTCTTTATTCACATGACATGATAATTTATGCAGAAAATCCTAAAGCATTTACCCCCTAATCCTACTAAAACTCATAACTAAATTTAACAAAATCACAAGATTAATATATGAACACTTAGAAAACAAAATTAAAAAATACCATGTATAAGTAATAAATACTCCACATGTCCCTACCACTCAAATTTCTCCCTACCCTTTCTTCTATCACCCTACATAGTTTATAATATCATTAATTAATTCTTTTAATGGATGGAAGGGGCAAAATCATAACATTTTCTTTTAAACCCCAAAGCCTTGCTAATATTCTCATCTTTCCAAGTGAGATGTCAATAAGCAATAAAGGTATATGATTTAAAGTTACTAAGGTAAATGGTTGAAGAACTAAAAATTGTTCTATATGTAATAAAGGATAGAAGAGAAAAGATCCTGGGGAATGTCAGCAGAATCTCTAGTATAAATACCAGCATAGACATATTATTTATTGAGGTAAATTTGAAGAAATAATTAAGAGTTATGGGACAAGATGAGAAAGGGTGGGTCAGGGGAGTTTTATTTTTCAGGCTGGGCCTCTTTATGTGGTGTTTCTAAACTCACATGCATAATGCTACTTTCATAAAAATTATTTTGGGGAAAAAACAAAAACATAAATCAAGGTCTAGGAGAAAACACAAAAAAGACTATCACCCCTCTTATAACTACTCAGCTCAGGAAAGTGTAAGCTGTAAATTATAAACTCTGAGACTTCTGCAAAATAATCTATCACTTAACGCTTACTCAGCAAACTGAAGAAAGTCCCCCTTAAATTCCATACCCCCTTTTATCCTCTACTCAATCTTCGCCAGAACTCTCTTCTTCCACCTACATCTTGGTAACAATCAGGTACAAAAACAGAGTCAGAGTGGTACAAAAACAGAGGCAGAGTGGTGCAAAATCAGCCCTCTACTGGCCAAAAGGATAACTGCACCCCATTCTACTAGACACCTCAGTACTTATGTGAACCACACATGCAGAAACCCCTGCCCACATTGACACAATAACCTTGTAGCTAGAATAAAATAGGGGAGAGCATGAACGCAGCTCCCCACTACCACAAATTATGCAGTCGAGTTTCACACATCTGGAGAAATCTCAGGGGTCAACACATCTGGCGTAGAATGAGTGAGCCTTGCCCTGGGAAAAACCACCTTTGTAATTATGGTTTCTCCCCTGCCAGGTTAAGTATGAATTACTGGTGCTGCCTGGCATCCCACCCTCAGATTCTAAACACTCAATACATACGGTCACTCTTTTCATGCACTCTTTAGATAACACATCATAATCAAGTGGGGTTTATCTCAGAAATGCAAAGTTGGTTTAATCTTAGAAAATCCATATAATTCAGCACATCAATAAAGACTTCTCCAAACTGTAAAAAGCCAGACCATAACATTTTGAATACTGTAATGTTTGCAAAAATCATAATCATGTATGTACACTGTGAACAAGACACTACGCTCTTTTACATACTCCAAGCATCTTTTTAGTTATGTCATTCTATATCTCCTGACAAATCTATCTGTGGGTTTTGTTGATGAAGTAGGTTGAATAATGGCCCACCAAAAATATCCAAATCCTAATCTCCGTAATATTGCCTTACTTCGTGGCAAACCGAATTTTGCAGGTGTGATTAAGGTGTGATTTGAGATAGGGAGAGTACCCTGAATTATCTAGGTGGGCCTGATAAAAGGGAATAAAGGTAAACAGAAGGTAACCCAGAGAAGATGATACATTGTTGGCTGTGAAAATGGAGGAAGGGACAACAAAGCAAGGAATACACACACTAAACTTGAGCCTGCTTTTGCAAAAAAAGTAAAACAAATTTCTCTGTAGAGGAAAAGAAACCCTGATGCTTTTATAACTGACCACCAGAAGCAGAAAAAGGTATCCACCTATTTAAACTAACAAACTCTGACGAACTTACTACATTCCAGTAACCCACACCCATGTAAAGAACAGAACTGTAACAAGACTAACTAGGACCAACAGCAACGCAGATTCTTTCTTTAACAGGTTAAATCAGGGGAGAGCGCGAACGCAGTCCCCCACTACCACAAATTATGCAGTCGAGTTTCCCACATTTGGGGAAATCGCAGAGGTCAGCACAACCGGAGTGCAATGGGTAAGCCTCGCCCTGGGAAAACCACCTTCGTGATCATGGTATCTCCCCTGCCAGGTAAGTATGAGTTCATTCACGTTGACTGGCACCTCACCATTAGATTTAAATCACTCTAAAGATAGGATCACTTTCCTAACACATCCTATTGACCCCTTAAGTTCCAGAATAAAGAGTCTCCAAACTATAATTACCATGCAGCAATATTTTGTATATCTAGACGTTGGCAAAATCTTTGGAAATGTATGTCTAATGTAAGCATGACCAGTAGTCACTGTGCTCATCTGCATATTCCACACCCCTTTTGCTGATCTCATTTAGTGCGTCCTTTTCCTAGTATAGTTAGTGGTGCTGTTCATAAAAAACAAAGGTAAAGACGCTCTACAGATTTAAAGATAAACAACATAAATTCGTTCGAGGGCTTGGCACTAATGACATCTCTGTGATGTCTGGCACAGCTCAGAAAGCCGCTATTCACATAACTGAAAGAAGAAGTCTGAAAAGGTGAAATTTGGCAAAACTCCATTTGAAAATGCAGACCATGTATTGCTAAAAATAGATAGTCAGTTCAAAGTTTCAAGCACAAGTACAAAATTTGCCCTCTTTCGGATATGTGGCAAATGGTCACCCTTACTTGAAAGATCAGTTGCACCAACAAATTCTAATTTTGAACTGTGCAAGGTAGGGAAAAGCTCATGCAGCACCCCCTCCTACACACACTGGGGGAAGTTGCAGGGATCCACACAGCCAGGGTGTAATGACCGCCCTCACCATTGGAAACCACCTCTATGATGAGAGTGCCTTGCCTCCCAAGCAAGATTGTGTTTCCACATATCCTTAAATCCTTCTGTGCTCAGTACTACAAGCACAGGGTCGTCTGTGGTTTTTCACTGGTGCCTCTGAAATCCAGAACAAGACTAAGGGAGAATCTATCCTACAAGAAACTCCTGAGCCATCCTTGACTCATATTACACTCTTCAAAAACAATATATCCCATCTCCAGCAATGGTTAATAATTCACATATTCCCACGTCCACATTGTCGGGTGATTGTTGAGGCAACACATATACTAAAATTGGAACAATACAGCCCTTGTGCAAGAATGATATGCAAATTTGTGAAGCTTCCATGTTTAAAAAAAAAAAATATATATATATATATACACACATATACATGTATAAAATCAGTCTTCTCAATCTCCTTCCTACTTCGCTGTAAATTAGAATTGGAGTTCCCTGGTTTAACTGTTCTTCGGTTGTAACACATATACTAAAATTGGAACAATACAGCCCCTGTGCAAGAATGATATGCAAATTTGTGAAGCTTCCATGTTTAAAAAAAAAAAATATATATATATATATACACACATATACATGTATAAAATCAGTCTTCTCAATCTCCTTCCTACTTCGCTGTAAATTAGAATTGGAGTTCCCTGGTTTAACTGTTCTTCGGTTGTCTCCTCAAGATTTTACTAGAACCACTCTTATTTTCCAAGTCTTTTTATCTTTCAGAACTCTTCTGGTGTTCTCTCTTCTGCCAAAATAAATTAGACAGAGTTCTATGTCTTTAGTTTTATATCTTTAGAACAGGAAGAAATAATGCTGTTTAAAAAAAAATCTTATTAAAGATTAACATGCAATAACTGAGAATATAGAGGTGTCTGAGATGGAGAGAAAAAGATATTGTGGGGAATGGGGGATACTATATGATACGAGCTGCAGCTATACCTGAAGTATGACCTTTTGACAGCCTACCAGTTTGATTTTTATAGCCTTTCTCCGCCAAAGAAAGTATTATGCAACATATACACACATGTATCCATATACATAAACATATAATCTATAAACAAAACATCTACATTTGGTTTTGTGAAATGAAAGTTAAGGTACTTTGAAATCTTGTTGGGAACCATTCATGTAAGAGAAAATGACGATGTCTATGAATTAGATAACTGCTACCACCAAACAACTCTTAAATTCAAAATGCCATTTTCAGAACATATGTGACCAACAGTGCTTTCTTAAACAACACAGAGCCTTAAAAAGGCCCACAGATCTTCACAAGGCTAGTTTCAATATTTCACAAGAACTTCATTGTCATTGGCCTAATTATCAAAATATTTATCCAAGCCAGTCTGCCTTAGGGCAAAAAGGTGAATGTCCCTCCACTCTTTTGCAGCTCAAGCAGGTTAAGAAAAAAATTACTGCTATAATCCTCACAGAAGCAGACCTTATTATCCTTTGAGGAGAGCCACATTTCTTTGATTAGAAAAATATAAGGAAATATATGTGTTTGTTAAATACTAACATAAGTTAGCATAGAAAAAGTGAGGAAGTTTCTTAGTTCATTTTATAAAAGTTGCAAAACTCTGCTGACAAAATAAAAGTAAATGTAATAATCTATGAACAAAAATGCAAAACTCTTAACTAAATCTATAAAATCTTTACACACTGAATCTAGTAGGATATTAAAAGAACATACACAATAGCTAAATAGGTTTTATACCAGGAATATAGGATCTAGAGCATAAAGTATATGATAAAAATAGCATTTTATATAGATGAAGGAAAAGATTAACTTATATAGAGTGCTTAGAAAATTGGCTCACCACTGGTAAGGGGAAAAATTGCTTCTTTCCTCCTGCTTTACATTAAAAAATTCAGATACATTAAAATATCCAAGTTAAATCATAAACTAAATGTAGAAAAAATAGATTATGCTTATAAATTCGACAAAAAGACTTTCTAAGTATGTTACTAAAGTCAGAAATAAATACAAACTTTTAGTAGACTTGTATACACAAAACCTCAGTAAAGTAGAAAACCTCATTAAGTTTAAATACACATGACAAAATGGGAAGATATTTTCAATATAAAAATTAGACAAATAGCCTGTATGATAGAGTATGCATATGAGAATAGGTAGCATATGGAGGAAGAGCATGGGTTTTGATGTCAGATAAAGCTAAGCAGAATATTTGCCTTACAGTAAGCACAATAAGTAGTTATTGTTTCTGATAATAAAAAACCATAGACCTATTATAAATATATATTTTAAATTAAAGAAGTACAATTAAAAAGTGAGAAGTATATATATGTTCATAGCAGCATTATTCACAATAGCCAAGAGGTGGAAGCAACCCATATGTCCACAGAGAAATGGATATACAAAATGTAATATATATATAATAGAATATTATTTAGCCTTAAAAAGGAATTCTGGCATATACTACAACATGATGAACCTTCAGGACATTATGCTAAGTGAAATAACCCAGTTACAAAACAACAAACACTATATGGTTCCAGTTATATAAGGTATCAAAAGTAGTCAAATTCATAGAAACAGAAAGTGGAATAGTGGTTGCCAGTGGCTGGGGAAGGAGAAACAGGGAGTTGTTTAGTGGGTACAGTTTCAGGTTTGCAAGATTAAAAAGTTCTGGAGATTGGCTGCCCGACATTGTGAATATAATTAACATAACTGAACTGTACACTTAAAAATGGTTAAAATGGTAAATTTTGTTATGTGTATTTTACCATTATTAGAAATTAGAAATGGACAAACGATATAAATGAGATGGTTACAATTACAAAATATATTTCGCCAATAAAGTTATATAAAAATATTTTTAACCTCTCTCAGTAATAAAAGATAATAACCATTTAAAGTCCATTATATCTCAATAAAAAAAAAAATACCATTTACAGACTGCTAAGGGCAGTGCTGGGGTGGGGGTGGAAAAACCAGCCCTCATATGCTGTTAGTAGGAGTGTAAGTGGTGCTAACATTTGGCAATATGATTTAAAATGAAAATGTGCATACTCTGACCCAGAAGTTCTACTTCCAGAAATGTATCAAGAGAAAGAGAGAGTGGGGAGGGAGGGAACGAACACACTACTTCATCGCAGCAAAAAACTGGAAATAATTCAACTGATGGGCCTCAGGACAGAATTGTAAGGAATCATTAAACTTAATTCTCAAATAAGTTTTAATCACAAGGAAAAAGGCTTTTGACAAAACGTTAAGTGAAAAACAAAAGATATGCAAAATTCTTCACAATTTAATCAGAAGTATGTAAAATAAATATGAACTTGTAGAAAGATTAAAATAAACGTTATCTGAGTTGAAGAAAAGGATTGTGAGTCAGTTTTATTTTCTTTATATTTTCTGTATTTTATTTGTTTTCTACAAGTAGATACTTCCTATAAGTATATATTTTCCACTATATTTAAGAGTACAAAACAAAAATATAGGGAGAGGAGATCAATCATCTAATCATCCATTCTTTTAACAAACATCTACTGAGCACCTACTATAAGCCACACTCTGGGCTAGGGACTCTAGGTAAACAACAGTAAAATCCACATGGTCCCCACCCAACTGAAGCTTTCAGTCTAGCTGGGGAGACATGGTCAAGAAATAATCACACACAGGCACTCGGTGCTATGAGTCTTAAGGGGGAGATCTGACCTAATTTTGAGGGGTTTGTTGGAGGCAGAGTTTCAGGGGCAGAGGAGGAGTCAATGGAGGCGAGGATTTGAAAAGTAAATGATAGTTACTTGCGTGAAGCAAGGATCGATAATATTATAGGCATGTGCAAATGCTGTTGTGGGATGCAGTCTGGCACATACAAGGAATTAAGGCCAGAGTGGTTGGAGTGTAGAGAGTAAAAAGAGAGGGAAAGAATGCAGCTAAGGAGTTAAACAGGAACCAGTACCTGCAATGCTTTTTGTAAGTCTTAATAAGAAATATGGTCTTTATCCTAAGAGCAAAATAGTGAACTGAAATGTACTATAGAAAGTACACTCTGACTACAGCATGGGAGAATAGACTAGAGGGGAGAAGATGCACAGAGACCAGCCAAAAGGCTCTTGCAGTACTTACAAGAGAAATGGTGGGAGCTTGGCCTAGAGAAGACATGAACATAATCGAGATATTTTAGAGAAAATTGATACGATTTGTGGATCGTCGCCAAAAGGTAGGAAATGAGTTACTCCACGAAATAAATCATAACTCACCTAGGCAAGGGAAGACTTCGTAAACCACCTTCCATACCATCCCTTAAAGTCCTCTATTTTAGGAGCGGTCCCTTCCCAACTCTACCAGAAAAGGAGATCTTGCGTAGCCCCGACTACTCCCTCTGTCAGAGAGAGCCCATGCCCAGCCCACTATGGGGATATTACTTGCTTACTTCTCCAGCTACTTCTTAAGCTAGGCAGGTCGTGAAGAACTAACGGTCTCAGAAACCATCTTGCTCCCGACTGGACTCGCGGAAAGGCGTGGGTGGGTGCGGGGATTGGGCGCCGAGCGCCCCCCGCTGCTGGCTGGCCCACAATCCCTCGCGTG